GGTTTGCACTTTTGAAGCCTGTATAAATACTTATGTATTTATACAATGTATAAATACATTTCACAAAATGATATTACAGTGAACACCACATGTTTCTTGCAGCATTGAGTTGATTGCATATTTCTCAGGTTAAGAATTGCTACTAAGATACTGCACTCTGATTCTTAACTAGTTGATATTTTGTATAATGATTTATTATGGCACTTAGATAAGGCAGAAGTATGACTTAAAAGAAAAAAAAGAAGTGTATTGTATTGATATTAGATTTATCTTAACCCATTTTTTGTTCATTTTCCCCGTCGCGAATGGGTTAATCCCCTTTATCCAATGGACTGTTTGTGGCTTTACTAGTGGGTGATAATGTACCACGAGATTTATCTTAGTTCATGTCTCACATGTAAAACTGAGGAAGGGTGATTAGAAACCCTCTAAATTATTCTGGGACATATGGTACACGTTGTATGTTGTTAAGAATTTTGTTACGTATTCTTCCCAGACGTAAAGCACCGCTCATCTGCTATGCTTGTTCGTAGTGGGTAGCAAATAGTCAATTTCTGGCTTGGTGTTGGCCCTCTCTCATGCTGAACTGGGCCCTGTGGCTTGAAGACAGCATGCTTTAAGGAGAACATATATGCACTTTTCTTTTCGTTCCCATTTTCTCTGCTTATTATGTTGGTCTGGCTTGCCCTGTGTAGCACCAACCTTGAATAGGCCCATCAGTTAAGGTGATAAAAGGAGATATCCCAAAATTATAATGTCTCTTAACCCAACGCTGACGGGTTAAGAAAATAAAAATTCTATACTCTGGAAATTTACCCATTGCCGCCGGGGAAAATAAAAAATGGGGAAAATGCTGTGCTCATTTTTTTTATTTTTGTAAAATGTCAATTAACCCATTGCCGCCGGGGATGGCATGTACGTACATGCCATGCCCACTGTGAGTCGACTTGTTCGATTGTTTTTACACATAGATGGCTACACTTGTACTAAGTATCCAACGAGCCAATTACGAGTACTGCCTGTCTCGCCCGTTCACTCTTTTCATCGATTTACGAAAATATTTAACGTTATCCTAATTTGGTGTTAAAAATAACACCATCTATATTTATAGCACTAGTAAAAATACGTTTTTTCCCGCCAATCCAAGGAAAGGTGAAATCAGGACTAGCAGAGCCATCTATGGACATTATGGAGATATTTCACAAAAATATAAAAAATGAGTACTGCATTTCCCCCATTTTTTGTTCATTTTCCCCGGAGGCAATGGGTTAATAGATTTTGTGTCTTTACTTGATTTGAATTGGCGGGAAAAACATTTTTTTATAGTGCTATGAATATTGATGATGTTATTTTTATTATAAACATTATAATTATTATAATATTATAAACATTAGTAACTGCAATATAAGATAGCATTTTGCAAAACCTTGTGTATGCTTGGTTGTCCTCCCCTTGTTACTCTCATAAGCCTATCATTTTGTTATTGTTGCCTGTAAAGTGAAGGATGCTGCATTTACCAGCCTCATGCAAACAGTGATTATAAATAGAAGAGCTTTTGGTGTCTCATTAACAGATAGCACTTCAAAGTTCACATTCATCGCATGTCATATCTGGAAGCAAAGGAAGCACGGGTAAAGGAAAGGACACTAATACTGCTTCTGCTTAACCCATTCGTGATGGACATGTCACGTATACGGGACATGCCCACTGTGAGTTCACTTGTTTAGTTGTTTTTACACATAGATGCCTACTCTTGTACTAAATCACCAATGAGTCAATTACGAGTATACCTGTTTCGCCCATTTACCCTTTTCTTTAATTTATGAAAATGTGTTACGTTATTACATTGCTATTATTAATGTTTATAACATTATAGTAATTATAATGTTTATAATAAAAATAACACCATTCATATTCATAGTACTAGTAAAAAATACATTTTCCCACCAATTCAAGGAAAGGTGAAATCAGTTAAGGCAGAGCCATCTATGTGTAGAGACATTTCACAAAAAAAATATAAAAAATGAGCACAGCATTTTCCCCATTTTTTATTCATTTTCCCTGTCGCGAATGGGTTAGATATTGCATATTATAAACAGGGTCGTAGTGATATTGACTCCTGTTTGGTTTTGTACTAGACATATAAATAGAATTTTATCAGTGAGGAAAAGGAAAGACTTAAATTCAAAAGTTCTGCAGTAGTACACTATGGGACATAATCAAGAACTGCCCAATTTCGATATCAAGTAAACATCATGGTGATCAAGTGTGAAGAATAATGATTGGACATACTCATCATCTGTGTTGCTTTATTGTCCTTGTCCACTTACTTCTGTCAGGTCACTTACAGCCCCTTCCTGAATATGATTCTATGTTCCAGTGGCATTGCTAATTTGATGGCATAGTTATCAGGACATGGAGCTTCACCTAGTTATAACAAATTCATATACAGTAGTTATGTAGTCTAGGTAGGCATCAAATCAGTCTAGTTTGCCTTTGG